CTATTATACCTATAAAATATTAATTTTAATACAAGTGTTCACAATAAGATAGAAAAGCATTCATTTTTATACTTTTTTTTAAAATAAAAACACATAAATTAAGGTTAACTACAGTTTTTTGTTAAATTCAGTAAAACTAATATTTCTGTTCAAGGTCAGAGGTCAAGATTTAATTGACTTGTTTTCAGCTACCTTGGTGTTGTTGTTGTTAATTTCTCTTGTTTTCTTTTTTTTTTGTTTGTTTGTTTGTTTTTTTGTTTGTTTTTGCTTGTTCTAACAAAAAAAAAACAACCTGAGAAAAATCCATCTACTCAGAAAACAATTTTGTGGTTTTGAAGCCACCTGAAAACAAAAGATGTTTTGAAGTGACTATGTGCCGTTCAGCTAACTGTTTATTTATTTATTTATTTATTTATTTATTTATTTATTTATTGATAATTTTTGTCAGCTAAAAAGCCTTTCTGTTTATTTTGACACACGTTAATTAATTATCCATTGTTGAAGCACATTACCTTACCATTCACAACGATCAACATTTTTACAAGCGTACTCTTATCAAACACCCCAAAATCATACAGTAAAATGTTGACTTTTACTGAATTTATATTGGCCTTAAGAAAAAGCTGAGTCACAAAACTTTGACACCTTCAGGGGTGTTACAGCGACTCCCACGTGTTCCAACAGAACCACTCTTGTGACATGTCTACCCTTCCGAAGAATACACACATTTGCTGGGAATAATGACATGCTTTCTGCATTATCCATACAAAGAGCAACCTCTGACTCATGCTATCAGCTTACAGCAAATAAAGATTTTAATAGAAATGCCAAACCTGAGCAGAAAATTAACAAGAACAACCGGTTTCTACACTCTTAAACTCAATAAACAGTCCTAAACATTGCACACGTACAGTAAGGCTGTACAAAAGGCTACCCAACAGTCCTTGCAGCTCACATGGTTTCTCTGGGACGTAACAATATGATACTAAGAATAAACTATTCTCTTGTCTCAAAATTGTTTAAAACGTCCCTAGACGGAGTCTCTAAGACATTGCTGCAGCATTGTGTTAGTGACAGAAACAATGCAAAATATGAAATGATGAGTGATTTCTTAAGATAATGAGTTAGTTTCCCAATTCCCAACTC